ATTATTACGCAGCGATAAGAAGCATTTAAAAAAGCTAAAGTGTAAATCTTGTCAACATTCGTACGTAAAATCGATGCGAATTTTGCTCCACAGTGCAGTGAAAAACGAATCATTTACAGACAGCATATTTAATGTGCAGTGTTGTTTGAACTTTGCTTATTTAACAATAATTTAATATTAACAAAATACTTTTTCAAAAATTATAGCAATGAAGATTGTCCTCAGAAAACCGAAAAATTATTTAAAATATTAAATAATAATAAATAAATAAAAATATTATTTAGTGTAATCATTTCTTAATTTAAAATATTGGTTCAGTCCTGTTTATAAGCTTGAAAAAAGAAAATTAATAGGTTTATACAATGCCAAACGAATAGTATAGAAATATTTGTTCTAAAAAATAGAAAAAAGAGTGTTATATGTTTATAAAACTTTAAATACACCTACAAATTACTGCAAATAATAAATCCAAAATTTTATGGATTCTCCACTTTTTTCAGTAACTTAAAAATTCAGTCTGGCATACTCATAATAAATGTTTCGAGTATGGAAGTTTGTTTAACATGCCATGCTTTCTCCAGTGCAGGTTCTAAGTCTTTTACTAAACCTTATCGTTTGTCATCAGCATATACAGTTCTTCATAGCATACCCCAGATTTTTTAAATTAGGTCCAGACCTGGAGATTTTGGCGAAGGATTCAACACATGGACTTGCTTTTGCTGAAGCCAATATTTTGTAGTTCAACATGAATGGACAGGTGTATTGTCTTGCATAAAATATAACTTTCTGCCTGCTAATTTTCGTACATATAAAAGTAAAGTAATTTCAATCAGTTCTTCATATTGAATTAATTCCTCTATTTATAAATATAATAGGTTACTTTCCTTGCAAGGAATGGCGCCCCACACCATAACGAAACCACCACCCATTTGTCGTAAAGATAACATCTTCTCTTCTTTGTGCAAATAATAAAAATTATAGTTCAAACCATCTGGGTGATACAGGTTGAACTTTTTTCATTTGAAATAATAACCTGTTGTAATTCTGTATCTTAAGACGTGATGTTATGCAAAGGAAAATCTTGTAGTTTTATGTTCTTTAGTTAAGGTAGGTTTTGTTTTTAATTAGTTTCAAATCGTCCTGATAATTTTATCACTCTGTGAACAGAATAAGGTTAAACTTTTACTCTAACTGATTCACAACGTATAATGCTGATGTCAGTCACACTGTTGCTTGCAAGCCTTGAATATTCGCCCTTATCTTTTGCATTAAACTTGGAAAGTCTTTCACCAATATTTTTCGAGTTGTGTTTGTCACCTACTTAATATAGTGGTACGCAACTGTGTTACTCTTTTCTATTTGAACAGCTAAAGCACGATAGTTTTCTAACTGTAGCCATAAAATATCAATTTAGTCTTGTTATTTCTCTGTTATTTTTCACCTACCCCATGTATAGCAAATGATTTTTGTACACAAATACGTGCAGAACTCTTTGTACATGTACACATTTTTAATTACTTACACTTATATGAAAATTTTCAGTTGTTTTTCATTTGTATGTATGTATGTAATCACTTTAGATACGAATGAAATTCCTTTGATTTCAGACTTTTTGAAAAAAATACTGCAACTCTATTCTATTATTATTGTACTCTATAAATCTATTAGTTAATTTACTTTTTTGAAACATGTAAACATGAGTGAACCAGTAATTTAAGTTAAGTTAGTTGTTTAAGTGGAATTTTTGCTTGTTTTTAATGTTTTCTCACTATCGTTATAATTATAAAATATAGAAAATTATACTGTTTATTTTACTTTATTGGTTATGTTATATATAACATAGGAAGTGTATGGCGGTAGGTCAAAGCATGACTTTCTCCGATGTTTTATATTTTTGAAATTTGAAATGTTGTAAAATGCAAAAAACGATGTGGGTTTTTTTGTATGTATGGATGTTTGTGTGTTGGGTGGACACGTTTCTCTTCAGTTTCTTTGAACCTTAATAACTCTAATAAATTTTGTCCAAAATTTCTAAAATTTGTGGATAAGCGACATTCAGTGGATCGTTAATCCTTTGTCAGGATAACAAAGGGGCATTCGCGTATGTAAATAGTGGTATAGGAGATAGAAAATACAAGCGCTTTAACAAAACCATTTATGTTGCGCTTAAAGATAAAAGTAAGTTTTTCGGGATAAAGTCAAACGCTTCTTTATTCTTGCTCGAGTTGGATCAGCATAGCTTGTTCATAGGGCAGCCCCAGAGTAGCAGCGTCTGTTGCAGGTACGTTTCTAAAAGGCGACTGCATTTAGAAAAACACAAGGATGACTGACTTAGAGAAAAACGTTTAAGTTGATAACCACGATGACGACGACTAACCCTGTATCCTTGAACATCGAGTTCTATACATTTTTTCATTTATAGTTTTTTTTCTTTAATTGGCTTGGTTTCCCTTTCCTGTTTTTCCAATTGTTTTTTCTATTGTCTCCAGGCAGTGTTGCCGCAATGAAATTTCAAAACGTACTGAAGCGCCTTCAAAAAATATACTATTTTCCTTCAAAATGTACTAGTTCTATGAATACTTTGTTTACGTGCCTATATATATATATAGGCACGAAATTTATATATATATATATACATAGTTTATTGTCAAATAATTTAATTTTAAATCTTATTTTTGGAATTTTTTGAAAGCTATTTAAAATTAAAAATATATCTAAACATCTATTATTTATTATAAAATGAGCATTACATAACCAATCGTGCTTTAAAAGAATAAGTATAAATTTGTTATGTTATATTATTTTATTTTTTATTATACTTTAAATTTTTTTATGTTATTGCATCACTTTACGAAGTGGTATATACGTAATTGCATCAGTTTTAGTACCTATTTAATTAATTTCAATCATGACAGCAAAATACTTGTTTCTTTTAAAATATTTGATGAAAACGTTACATAAAATTGGGGTTGCATAATCATCCGAGATTATTATTTTATTTTTGACTGGAAATTACAGGATCTATGCAATTTTAGTTTAATTCATTTCATATAAAACTGACTGCTCGTACAAGTTTGCTTAAAACATGCAACTCAAAAAACCCCCAAAATGGCAGCTCAAAAAGTAGATCACGCGTGTCCCGATCTTCTTATATATACCTTGGAACAGTCGGAAGCGCGACCATTTTGGAACCATACGTAACATTAACCCTTATTTCTTTTACTACGATTACTAAAATTAAAGTTCATAATTTAAGAATTAAATTATAGCGGTAGAAAATAATATAAATGTATTTATAATATTTATACTCGTACAATTTCAAAACTATTTTCTGTAATAATATATTTCTGACTTAACGGATATTTTGATATTATTGACGACAAAAGCTTAAAATCATTGATTTCCTTACCTGTCCATTATTTTTGTTTGACGGAGTTGAATTGTTTGTACCACGTGGATTGAAAAATTTTGTCAAGGTCCTGATGAGAATGTGCAGACAACTGAACGTATGAAAGAAGACCACTGAGTCAAGACCGTTTACACTTGCAACTATCTATGTTGCTGACGTCGACGGACACACACAATTTGTATGTTGTGATTGGATAATTTAAATTAGCAAGCAGTGACACTAGTGAGACTTTATTAAACTAATTTATCTCATTTTTTCGTTAAGGCGTGAAATATTATTTTGTACCGTAAATGGTACTTGAAATATTATAATGTACTGAAAATGTACTAAAAATGTAAATGTACTTTCAATTTACTGGAAAGAGCAAAATGTACCAGAAAAGTACAAATGTACTAGGAACGGCAACACTGTCTCCAGGTAGTAATACGTGACAGTATGAATAGAATGTATAATGACGTTATATAAGTTGTTTTAGAAATACCAATTATATATATGATTCATCTGTCAACAAAGATTAAGAAGAATCAAAATTAAAACAAAAGTAAAATCTGTTTTATGTCTACCTAAATCATACTTATTAAATGAAGTGTAGACTTCGAATGGGTAAGATTTGCTATTACATATAAAATAGTACATATAAATATAAATAAATATAAGTGTACATTAACTTTACCTAATCTAAGTTTAGATTTCATTAGGTTAGATTAGTCTAAGACAGTGTTTCTCATTGGGGCTATATCGACCCCATATGTGCGTTTTTTCATATTGAAGGCGAAAAACAATTTTCTCTGCGATATAGTAAACATTATATAAAGAATAATTGAATATTTGATTTGTTATATCGTACAATAATTAAACAAATAACATTTTTTAGTGACTAGTGTATTAAATGCAATACGAATTTGCGCCCTTTTCATCGGAATTTCGAAGCTTGCAGAGGGTATTAACAGCAAATAATGCGTATATTTAATTTTGTTAATTATGTCAAAATCTAATACGTATTCTGAGTAAATAAATATTTATTTGATAATTATATACTTTGTAAGATATTAAACTAATAAACCCAACAAAATTGTATTTGAAGTGAAAAGGGTGATACTACGTAAGTGTTTTATTGAAGGGGAGACAATTCGTTAGCGGTTGAGAAACAGAGAGTAACTATTGTATAGACATTTCTAGGCTAATATTCAGTACATCTTTTATTATTTACAGTAGAATAATTTATGTCTTGTATTTTGCATATGTTTTTCGCCTAGTAAAACAGAGAAACTTAATTTAACAACGTAGTTCTTCTTTACAAAGTAAAATACACTAATAGAAATATCAATTGGACCTTTTGAAAATCTCTTCACAAAATTAAACAACTCTGAAATTATGAAAACTTGAACGATTTTATATAAAATAGCAAAAATAATGATAAACGTTTTGCAAATAAATTTTCTACTACATTTTCTACTGTAAAAATTTTATTTTATCAAAATTACTGTCTTATTTATGTCTCCATTTCTGTATTATTATTACTAATATTGTTGTTGTTCTTTTTCACGTTGTGACTAACATGGTAGCTTTCCCCATTCTTAACATGGGTTCTTTATTGTAAAATGTCAAATGGTAAAAGTTCAGTCCAAAGCTAAATAAACAAATATATCATAAGAAAACAATCCTGGACTTACACTTAAAGCTTTACCAGATTTTTGCTTCAAAAAAATGGCAGGCTGATGACATTACCGCCTAGAACACACCAAAAATATTTGCAGCAAAATATGAGCATAGAATGCATATGTGAGGCTAGCCGATTAGGGGTGAGGTGTTTTCGACAGCCGAGCGGTTAATTCTGTCGTGTGGACGCGGAATGACTCACCGAGACAGGTTTACCATATAAAACCGTTTAATAATATACATAAATTGTTCTTACAACAATTCAAGAAGTCAGGCGAACGCCTATCCCACGATGGGTTACTAAAACCGTTCCCCAAACAACCCGGAAAAGTTCGACAGTTCGGTCGCTCCTTGGGTGTTTCGCACGTCGGACGCAGAGAACGATGTCCCCGGAGCACGCACCAGCACTTGTCGCGATGTCCTCGGTTAACGAGTTGAACCTCGGCGATTCTGGACAGAACGGGTTGTCGAAACCAGCTCCTAGGGCGTCGAAAGAGCCTTCGTTGTGTCTCTGTCGTGAGCACCAAATCCCAGCAGGGTAGCGCTACGCACCAAAACCCAAGACCCCGTAAAGTTCCCGAAAACGCGGTTTTATCAATTTTTCCACCGCGGTCGCCTCTCCATTGGTCTCTCCTCGTCACATGGTGACAATTCGAAACTCCAGGAAGGGCGCGGGAGAGTTCAACGTCGCGTCGGAACACGACTCCTCTCCAACCTCGTTTTCCTCGACTTTACTCTATCTATTGTTTAAAATCTTTTAACAAG